ATGCTAATCCAACACCATTATTTAATATATCATGTCAGCACAACTCGTAAAAACTAAAAATATGTTCCAAAATGGCACATGATCCATAATTTTGTTGGCCATGTTGTGCCTACTACAATACTATTTTTAGTGCCAAATCGGGTCAAGCACTGGCCCAGTGACATAACAAGAAAATAATTTTAGTGGAGTCATATTTATTCACTAAATCGTATTACACGAATACTTTTTATATTTTATTTTTAAAAGAAGTTAAATTAAATTGTTTTAAATATTAAAAAAATATATTTATAATAAAATATTGCTATAATGCGATATTATCTCATGCATATATGCTTAGGATATAATCATTCTTAAATTTATGAATTGAATATGATATTATTTTATTATTGTTTTTGTTATTTATCTGAGTAAATATTTTCTGTAAATTGTATCATCCAACTAAGAAGTTTTTAACAAAAATTTAATATTTTATAATATCAAAATTCTAATTATAGTAAAATAAAAATTGATAATTTTAATATAGTACGATATAATATCAACGATTTATTTTCATTTTAATAAAGTTTGAGAGAATATTTACGTTTTATTCTTATGTTATTGACATATGATTATTTTTATAAACATATGTAAAGACTTTTATCTTACTTGAAATCTAAATATTAATTAATATTGTAGTTGTAAAAATGAATGAAAATTTTATTTGATTAACCCCTCAAATTATGTTTTTATTGAATTTGAGTGGGTCAATACAACAAAATTACACAAAATTTACTATTCTATACATATGTAATTATATCATTTTTAAATTTGAGTGAGGTCAATTGACCCCAAAATCATACTTGGCTCCTCCCTAAGCACAGCCCATTAATAATTTTTAAAATTTTTTAATTATTACTTGAGTTTAAAATGTATTTTTATGTATATAAAAAATTTCATTGAATTTTGCATATAAAAGCCAACTTTTTTCTAGCTTACAAACTTTAACCCTTGTCATATTATTCAAATTTATAAAATCATAAAAATATTCCAAATTTTTACTGAAGATATCTTAGCTATTTTTACTATTACTAGATTAAGAGGCAATTTTTTTTTTTTTTTACCTTAGTATGTAGTTTTATTTTTTGATGAATTTTTACTTAGTAATGTAGTTTTCATATTTTTTTTATAGAAAAGTTATAATCATATATTTTGTATTCAAAATGAAAGGACTATAAATTTATCTACTAATAATTTAGATATTTTATAAGTATATTTATTTAATATATTTTTTACAAAGTGTAAACAAATTGTCAAAAGCAAATATAATTTCATCACAATATAAAAATATAACATTTAGATTTGTATTTCATGTCATACTAACTCACATACTATGTGTTGACACTAATCCTTAATGAATCGTATCATATTGATTTATAAATTCGATATCTTATAACATAATATGATATATATATATATTATCTTTAATCTAATTTAATTATTTAACAGTAAAACGCATCAATCAAAACTCATATCATATCACATACCATTTGACCCATTTGACATATCTAATTAATTCATTCATATCCCAAGATTGATGCTATATATATATATATATATATATAAAAGATATGCTTGGAACATTTTTCTTTATAATAATACCCTTTAAATAAGCACCGCTATCTCCGCATCATACTAGTAAAATTTTATTACTCCTTTTAAATCATGATCGTGGTACATAAGAGCTATCCGGTTTGTTGTTTGACGTCACCAAAAATATAAAAGAAAGCAGCCTATACAAATTTGGTACACATATAGCCATAGGCCAGCGTTATGATGTTGTATTGATTACCATTCCAAACAGCCAATTGCTGCCTATATATCGCACAATCGTAGAAGTCAAGCATATGTAATTAATCTTTTTTACTTGTTGCTGAATTGATATGCTTCTGCAGCAAGATTACAACTTTTGACCTTCCATCCTCATCTTTGGTTGTCATCTATTGAAAACAAATGAGCTGTCTTTACTTGTCTTTTTTTTTTTTTTCCCATATGCTTCCTCATCAACTAAGCCCACTTGAGCAGGTAATTCAAGCATCAATCTATCTCAAGATATTATATGGGTTCGCAATTGGTATCTTATGTTTACTCCATCCACTTTAGATTCTTGAGAGTGAAATCTTCTCTTTATTGGGTTTTCTTTTTTGAAGGGTTGTGGTTTTCTAGAGTCCAAATGTTGCATTCTATAAAATAAAATAAAATAAAAAGTGGAGCCCTAAGCTAAAGACGAAAGAAGTGCAGTATATATAGGAAAAGGGCATTGAGATTGAGGATTCCATCGTCATCACCAATACCTTAGGGCAAATGGACAAAGGGAAGGTCACCATCGCTTCATGAACCGGATCTTCAGGTCTTTCCTTCCTCTTCTTTAAAGATACGTGAAATTTCATATTGCAGTAACAATTGACCAATGAAGCAAACAAAACGACCAAACAGGCTGTAACAATATATATGGACAAAAAAATTTTAAAATAATAATAACAATAAAAGAGAGTATGTACAAAATCCAACGATTAAAAAAAGCGCTTAGTACCCAACTACCCATCAAAATAGAATTTATGGTAATATTTACTATTTTAAATCTTCAAATTCAACATCTGAAAAACAAAAGGTAAAACCACTTTCTTTTTGCAGATCACCCGAGTGGGGGCCAAGCAGATGGTGCATGTGGGGATCGCGGCCATAGTCACAAAAGTTAGAGCCATCATATAATTCAGCAAATGAGAAAATGATAATTAAATGACTAAAGAGAAAAAGAAGTTAATAGTAAAGTTTGACTATTATTTAGCTATACATGTTTAAAAAGAGAAGTGATGGAAGGTGGGAATCGAAGGAGTGAACAAAATTTTTTTGGAGTAACTTTGTTGCACGAGCGTACAGTTTATATTGGGCAGCAGAAGAATATTTTGTTGATGACAGTAAATCAAAAGGGGGGAGGGGGGAGTTGCTTTTGTTCTTGGGAGGCTGCCAATTTGGATAAGCATATATCATGATGAATATGTGAGTACATGTTCAGCGAATGTGATAATGGTGATCCAGTTGCTGTGCCGGTGTTCAAGTGGATAAAATAGCCAGGAATCACAAAGCTTTGAAATAAAAAAAAAACAATTAATTACCTTAGTAGTCTAACAACGAAAACAATGGTCTTATTCTTACATCTTAAATATTGCATAGTTTGGATTAAAAAGTGAAATCAAGGCAATGACTAGTTCTATCCATGTTCTTGTAGACTCTTAAGATCAGAGAGAGGGTCGGGCTGATATGATAGACTGTGCTATCTATCTAGTTTAAGCCGTTAGAAAAAGAAACTGGAATCTAAAGTCAACTTTATTGTTTTAGAAGTGCGTGCGCGGGTGATCCAAGTCAATGCAGTGATTAAACAGCAAGGTTTGTCGGATTTCAGCTAACTTGTTGCCATGTTAGGTTATGCTTTCCCTGGAAAATCCATGGTTGATAAAAAATATTAATCTTTATTGCTTTGATGTGGACTTGTTGAATTGGTTAATTACGTACATAAGCAAACAAGATTCCTATCAAATTCAGTGACTCGTGGTGCAGCCAGTGCCTACCATCCTGTTTTGCTGTTTCAATTTCGAAGTGTTGGTACTACCGCACCAACTGTTATGATTTTTTTTTTCTTTTTGAGAAAAACCAAAAGATAAAGCTTTGGTGACGGTTGCTATAGCCAAATTTGCAAACTCACAAGCAATTATTAAGGGAAAATATACCCCATAGTAAGAGAAAATTGGAACTTAGGTTTTAAGCTCTAGTGTTATTTTCTTGACTGAGTTGAATAACTGGTGTAGGCAAACAACTGGATGATTATATATACGTTCACTCACAAGTCACTCCAGCAAGACCTATTTTTTAATTATTGTTACGTCTATTTACTCGAGTCAATATGATCAACTCTTTGGAGCGTTTTGATTATACACCTTCAGTTATCACATTATTTTTACATAAGAAACTGGCTCGTTCTTTGTCGAGAAAAGGCTCACCCTACATTTTACTGATGTCCCATTAAAGCATTATTTCAAAATTGAATAGTTAATTTTTAATTTGCCAGAAACCATTAAATGTTACCTATATTTGCTTGGGATCATTAAATATGACTTGCAACTATCTACATGGATCTTTTCCGAGCTTTCCGTATGTTTCTAATCAACTGTCAACTGTCACACTTAAATCACCCCCCTTTTCTTATATTTAAGGTAAAGAGAAAGTTAGGGTATGTAAGACAAAACCCAAGACTATACTTCATACTTAAGCAATTTTTCTCTATTGTAGCTTCCCCACACACCTTATCTTCTTTTTCTCCTTTGAATATTTTACTAATTTGAGCATGGGAACATATCTCAAATAATCAACTTCGACGTCTCTTGACCGTGCTTTCTGACTGCAAGTTCAGACCAACTTATCTTTAACCTCTAATCGACTCCTTCCAACTAAGACACTAAGAATACCATCAACAATTATCTTTCATTTGTGGGTTGAATATTATCCGACCAGTAAAAAATCAACCAAAATTATGGCTAACTCTAGTTAATCAATTAAGAGAAAGATTAAACTTCCCCCAAGTCAAACAAATAAACTAATCAGTGATCACCCAGAACCTGCCGCCCCGGCCTCATTCTTCTGAAATTTCGGCCTTAGCAGTGCGGGTGGGCTTCAACAGGGGCCTTAGTTCTTAAAACGCTTGCGTTTCCTTGATCAAAAATAGACTGTTAATTTGTTATCACTTACCACGTATAAAGAATGCACGAAAAAGAGTAATCTCCAAACTCTTGTATTCGTATAAAATATTAAGAATTTATATCATATTTTAGATAAAAATTATATATTATAATTTATCTTAATAAAAAAAACATAATATATATTTATATAATTTATATAATTTTTTATTGAAATTCTAATTCATATCACTTTCATATTTTTTTTATCATTTTTCTAATACCATATTCTTATTTCTTATTTTTTTATCATTTTCATAATATCATCATCTCGTGTTTTCAATTATCACTGTGAGCCGTGTTGTTCCTGTATTCCGTATCTCACCATTCATCTCCCAAGCGCATACCATCAAAGATGAAAAATCAAGATCTTGTCGAGCGTATTCCCTTACATCTAGATGTCTATAAAGTAGGCCAGTCCTTCGACCCTTTTCATTAGGCGATATGCAACAGACCAAACATGCACGGTAAATCATATATGCAAGATAAATTATGCAGTCAGTAGGATTGAAGGCATTGAACAGAAGATACACCACCCACCAACTGCTTCCACAAAGTTTCGGGATCGATTACATTATCTATAGAAAGCAACTCTTTAATTAGAGGCAAAAAAGGCTAACCCAATGTATCCTAATGCTGCTGCACCTTAAATAATAGGAATTCCATCTAGCCACAAAAGAAAAAACCTTTAACCCTACAAACACTATAAACTACAGTAACTGTGAATATTTGCTAGCCACAAACCTAAGAACTACATCAAAATACCAAATGCATGTCTAGCTGTGAACGCAGCACCAGGATTATCTAAGATGTCTGCAACAAACACTAGGATTTAGCCAAGTTCCACGTTGCAGGAGAAACAGCCCTTGGCAATGTCAATGCAGTTGAAGTGAACTTTGGCTCATCTTCGCTGCTTCTTTCCAGACTTGGAATCACTTCCCTGCGCCTTGGATGAACTTGTTGACTTCCGCTTTGTACCTTCCACAACCTTCGCTGAATTGGCAGACTTCTCTTTCACACTCTCACTTTCTTTCGCCTTTGATGAACCAGATTTTAATTTCCCAGTACCATCAGTATAAGATTTCCCACCACTTTTAAGACCCTTAGAATTAGACGAAATCTTGGGGTTTTCTGGCTTGGCCTTGGCTGTCTTTGGCGTGTCTTGCTTTGACTTTGTGGAAGCTCTTGGCGTAACACAGCCATCATCCTTGGATTTGGTAGACTTAGCTATGTCACCACTGTCCTCATTCTTAGATTTGTTGCCTACTTTTGAAGCATCGTCAACTGATTTACTACCAATTTTGGAGGTGTGATCCTTGGATTTGGCAACATTGTCATTGTCTGATTTACTGGCACTCTCGGAGCCATCTTTGGATTTGCCATCCACTTTACCATCTTCCATTGTTTTGTGACCAGACTTTATGGCAGCACCCTTCGATTTTCCAGACAATGCTCCTCCACCCCTGCCATCCAATTTTGGAATTTTCAGAAATCAAAGAATCATAGCAAAATTTGATCTGAAAAAATTAAAAAACCTTTTCGGTGAAGCATCCATCTTAGTTTTCTTGCTTGGCTGATCAGCTTTTTTTGCTTTCTTCTTTTGAGGCCTGTTAATGGAAATCAAAACAAGGGAAAAAGAAGTTAAGCCCAGACAAGAATATGAGACAAATAGACCAGAAAACCCAAGAAGCCAACAAGCAAATGCAAAGCTATACCAAATATAATAACCTCTAAACCGAAAGTAAACTCCAGCATTCACATAAAATTAGCATTGCTAAAGAATGGAAAATTTATCAACTTAAACTGCACAAAACAACCAAGCAAAGTTTCATCATGCAAGGCCAAAATACAGACACCATCTGGAACCAAGATTGTGAAGCAATCAAACTTAAAACATTCGAGAATTGCAATAGGAATCACCTACATTTCAGATGAACCATCAGGAATTGGATGATCAGCTGCTTCTTCCTGTTTCAATGAAGTGTTAGCAACCTAGAACATGAATCAAATAAAAGTTAATTATCTGTAAATTAGATAACTGCCCACCTCATTTGACCCAGACTCATCTTCAATCACCTCCCACTTTTCTCTCTTAAGACTTAAAATTTCTTCATCACCATCATTATAGTACACCTATAGACAGATGAAAATGAAAAAAAAAAAAAAATAACACATTCAAGCATCACTAGTTGGAGGGAAAACCTCAGGTAATGAACGCAGGAAAAGAAAAACATAAAAGGAAACTTCGATCTTATTTGATGTGTCACCTTGTGCTTCTTTTTAACAGAATCAAACGATTCAATAACACCTTCATAGAACCTGCAAAAGAATAACTTCATTAAGGGGAGAAAGAAATTGAACCATAATTCAAGTCTCTTATAAAGAAAATCTCCTATATATGTGCATTTACATAATTAAGTTCCTTGAACGAAGTAGGTCAAGGCAAAGGCATAATAAATCAAAACAATACAATATATTTTGATGAAGAATGAAGTAGTAAATTAACAGTCCAGGACAAAGTTCAAGACAACTCAAATAAAGAACCAAATGGCACTTGAGACAACATCATTCAGAATAACAAAGTAATTTACTCTTTAGTACAAGTTATTTACTCTTTCTATTCAGCATCTCTGAGCACAAACTTCAAGGAGATGAGATGCCATTTGCCAGCAGGAAAGATAAGTCCAGTTCCATTCCATTCATATGAAAGTAAAGATATAAAAAAGATTGGTGGGATAGTTGGTGTTTGATATTGGTTTTTGCGTTATCATATTCTAACTTTCTTTTGTTTTTACCTTGTTCTTTCAATTTTTTGTAGGTGTTCTATTTTCAAGAGTTTGCTATGTAGGACCGGGAAAACAACCAGTTGTTCACCGATAACCACTGGAAGTTGCCTATGCCAATTTCTTTGGGGTTTCATTATATGTACAGTTTTATCTCAGATTCTAACCTTTTTTTTAACATACTTAAATCATATATTTGCGCACACACACACACATTTGAAAGAGATCACTTTCCATTAGTCAATTTTTTTTCTTGGAGCAAATATAAGATTTGAGCATCTGAGAATAAGGGAAAAAAAGAAGGTTATAGAAAATGTTATAAAATGATAATAAGGAGCAAGGCTAGAAAGAAACTTCAATTTATTGACCTTACTATTTGAGCCATTTGAGACTAAATGTTATGTCACAAGGAGAGAGAGAGAGAGAGGGGGGGATCCACATACAAAAATTATACAAGGAAATTGGACCTATGTAGGGGATACACATTCACACATTAAGATACATGCCACACATATGCATACATATATAAGAGAAAAAATAAAACAAATAAAATTTCATGGTTTCTATTTTGTAGTATCACCTTCTGTAACACTTGTTCAATATAAAACAAGGAAAAATAGAAATATAAACTTACACACGGTCTTTTGGCCACCAGACCTTCACCTTCAAGCCAACCAGATTCTCACCATATTCTATAGAATCAGATGCCTGACAAAGAATGTATGAAAAAGAAATCAAGTGACTCCAGAAGAGGATATGCAATATCATCACTTCAATTATGTTCAGATTGCAACAGTCAAATACAAAGTTTACAATATTTCATACAGAATTATTTGAGCTTATATACTCCAAAATCTTTCCATAATGCAAGATAAAAGGCAATTAGCTTTGATATCAAGAAACAGCAAAATAATATAAAAGTTAGCACCCACACACATGCAATAATGGTGCGGCAGAGCATTGTTTTGCTACAGGCTTTTAGGAAGGAGTAACAACAGCATTGCAGGATTACTGCTCCAAGGAAGCATAAAAACTTGAAACTTGTGGAAAAATCAATGCAATGTCAAACGCCTCTTCAAAGACAAATGACCTACAAGATGGTTAAAAGCGGCAATGTTGCTAGATAGGTATCATTTTGAAAAGGGAAAAATATTTTAGAAACAAAGAAAAAAGTAAAGAGATGCTTAAAAGTAAGCAGCGAGGCAAGTAATATGAAGGATAGAGAGTAGATGCAAAAGAAAAAGAGTAGAAAGATTAACCAAAATAAAATGCTTACAAAAAACTCAAAAGGTACAATGCAGTCAATCAGGAGCGATATGGAGAAGAAAGACAACATGAGGATTAAGAAGACAGCAAGAAAAGATAAATGGCCTGCGAATAATAAATCAATCATCAAGGAAGCAATAATGGGGAATCCATTAAGAGTTCAAAACCCATAAGGATCATCATAGAGGCCACCTATAAAGCTCGCTTTATTTAAAATCCAACCTTCTGAAACTACAATACACCACCATTAAAACGTCATCTTGAAAGATGCAAAAAGACTCATAAAAGTAGAAGACAAATGCAATCTCAACACTCTGGTACCTAGAGACACTTACTTTTTCTTTATTTGGGATTTGCTTTCTCTTGGAATTTGTCTTAGGGATCTCCTCCATGTGAGAATCATGTTTGTTTGGCTTCACTGACTTTGGAGAAGCAACCATTTCCTAAATAAATAATAAGACAAAATGATTCCCTTGATTGAAGGATCAAGAACAGCTAAATAAATAAATAATAAAGCTTTTAATAAAGAAAATTGCAAATAGAATAGCTAAATTACAACATAAAAGCCAAAAAGTAAGCACCTCATCATCATTCTTGGTTGAGGTTTTTGTTCCATCTTTCTCAGGAACAATTTTTCCCCGAGCTCGCCTTTTCTTATTCTCCAGTTGCCTTGATGAGGATCCATCTACATTATTACTGCTTGAATCCACCTTCTTGGTCGACTGCTTCAGTGATTTTGCCTCTAAATCACTTGCAGTGCCACTTTCTTTCTTAGTTTCATCCACATCAGCTGGAATATTATTCTTGTTGGAAACAACAGTAGCAACCTTTTTCCCTGATCGTCGATTTGTTTTTGCTTCTGAGTCACTTGTTCCTTCACCTGCCTTCTTAGAGACATCATCAACAGAAGATGTGGTCTCCCTGCTCAAGCTCTCTTTCCTTTTTGGCCGTGCAGCCCTTTTGGAATGAATATCATCAGCTACAGTCCCACTGCGTGTTGGGGAAGCAACATCCTCAGTTGCTTTTGGTGAGGAAGGCAGAACATCTGTCTCTCTTTTATTTTCCAAGTATACAGCCCCGTCAACGGACAGATCCTCACGAGGTGAACCAATGTCATCCTTGCTGTCACTTTTATGGTCTGTTAAGGTCTCAGCATCCTTCTCATCGACATGAGAGCTATCAGAAGGTTCGCTTGATTTCAAGTCAGATTTCCTCCCTTTTTCCATAGTACTTTGCTCTGACTTACAATCTGAATTGACCACTTTCTCAGCTTCCAATCTATCAGGTTCAGCAACAGTTAATGTATCAGCATTCTTGGATGTATCAGAAAGATGGCCATCCTCTTGCTTCTTTACAGAGTTTGAATCAGCCAGCAAATCATCCTCAGCAGTTTGCAAAATGCCATTGCTTACTACTAACTTGGTAGACTTTTCATTTGCAAGATCAACTTGCTTATTTGAAACTGCTTCTTTAGGAATCTCTTTATCATCCTAATAGAGAATTTGAGGATATATTAATGACTCATTTCAAGCATTAAATTCTAAAAAATATAAAAGTTGAATATAATAAAAAAGGAAACACTTGAATCCACACACACACACACGCACACGCATGCACACGCACATATGTAGAACACTTAAATTGATAATAAATATATGAAACAAAACATGCCTGGGTTGGCTTGTCCAAATGTGCCTCTGTTGGTTTGCTCTCATCATTCTACAGCAAATTAACCCAAAAAAGAAAAATTGAAGAGACTAAATCAACTCTACATTCAGCGAAGAAAGCATAAAAGATATCAGAAAAGTGTCAACACAAGGCAAAAACTTATCCTGATTAGAAGGATATCTTGAAAAAAAGAATTGAAAAAAGTAAATACACAAAAAAGACCAATAACAAAGTGCCATACACAAATTAAACAAAAAGCTTTGAACCTTATATAATCAAGTAGCATGAAATGCAGAGAGGAAAGGCATACAGAAACACAGCAAAAAATAAATAAATAATTGCCCTCAAACAAAAAGGATTTATGGAATTATGTTCAGATACAAGCAAGATGATTACCACACGTTTGTCAGTAGCAGCATCATTCTTCTCCACAGCGCCAGATGTCACTTGGCATATGGAAGCAACTACACTACTATACTCGTCAAAAGAAATCCCCAAGTTCTCTACAGCTTGTGTTAGGTAAGGTTTCAGCTTTGATGCACAGTTTTCAAGCACTCTCTCTGCCAACCTCCGAGCAACCGGAAGAACTTCCTGAGAGGAAATAGGAACCCTAGGTGAATTAAACAATATTATAGAAGAAAAGTAAAGGGCAGTAAGTGACTCAATTTATAACAGACCTCATTATCCCTCCTTACACTAGCTAAGAGCGGGGAGAGCAGCTCTGCAGAGATGTCTTCACTTTCTTCCAATACAAGGGTCATAATAGTCATCATTGATGTAAAGACAGCCTCCGCATGATAATCCCTGAAAAACAATTAAAAGAAGAATCTTTAGAATGTATGCTCTAAACCACTTTTTACTCTTTTTGTAATAGTAATCCAAACTAATAAATTATCCTTACAGAAGGATGAACATAACAAGATGAAAACAAAATTTTGATTTGAGAAATAAGCCTCAACTACAGAAAAAGGCATTATGAGGTGGAAAAGAAAACAAAAATGCTCCCAGAAAGGAAAAGAGACAGATTTCTGAAAAGAGCACTTAAACTTTGTTTTGATTAGCTGGAACTGAAGATTTGGAAATCAATTTGTAAATTACTGGCCTTCCCACTGTCTCTCAAATCTAACATAGGCACCTACTCAATGAGATCTTTAAGTTCCAGGAAACTTGAGAGGGATCATAATCTCTATTTTCAAACACCTATATAGCAGTCTATCAGTTTAAACCCATATTTCAAAATTCACAGCAACCTGAGTCATCCCGTAATATACGAAAACAGTTTTTCTATAGCATAGATCCATAACATGAAAGATCAAGATAGAACTGAAAGGAGAACATTTTCAAAAGCAATAATCATCTTGTAAAATTTTGAGAAATTACAATTCAGATAGAAGGTAGGAAACAATAGCTGAAGATTTAAGCTAATGAAAAATTATCAACAAGAGCATGCACTCTGCAATCAAGAAATTATTTTTTACCTTATTGCCTTAAGAAAATGCTGGAACATCTCAATGATTAGTGCATCACATTCAAGATCCAACATCACCACACATGATCTGACTTTGGCAACAGTTTCAAGAATCGAGGTTCTCTTAATGAATGAGCGGCTGGACTTGTCAGATAAATTTTTAAACGATGATACAATCAGTTGAAAAACTTCCTGCATACACATTAATAGGAATCAATACTTCAATGCAGAAAATGATTTTAAAATGAATATAAAATCTGCAAAAGTATCCAAAAACAATGAATTCAAAGTACCTTCATTTGGTCATCATCGTATGGAGCATCTGGAGCGGTTATCCTTGTTATCTCGCTGATGCAAGCAGCAACTGCAACTTTGACATCATCATCATGATTTTTGAAAAGCTGCTCTGCAACCAATGCTTTGAGTGATGGGGAGAGAGCATTTTGCATTGATTGGCTTGGTGATTGTTCCACCCTTGAAAGAAAACTCTCAACTTGCTATATTTACCGAGGATAGAAAAGAGTAAACAATCATCATCAATGTAAAATGTATCAATTAAAAAGAACGAGCATAAGGCACAACAAAAGGGATATTAAAGTACCTAAAAATTCAGACAAACAGTTGATCATCTGAAGAATCATTAGGAACTTCTCAAAAATCATTTATACATCAATAACACTCTACGAAACAGCCAACCGCCAGGGCACCACAGGCAGTGAACAAAAGCAACACTTAAAAGTATCCCCTTGACTAATAGGGAGACAAAAAGGGAAAAATAATTGAAATAATTCTAGTTCAAATTGACAATAAACCAAAGACAAATTAAAAGGTATCTAACACCCTATCATTACTAATTTGCTATACAACTAAGACATCAGCAAACACCCATCTCTGAAATCACATTGCAATTCCTTAGATTTCCATTTTCCTAAAGAGTCATCCTACAACGGAATTAATACACGGTTTTCTTGCAGCCGCTTATACAAAAACAAGTTGTAAAACCCTAATAAACACTAAATATAAGGAGATAGCTTAAAAGAGATAGATAGCAGACAAACAATCTACCAAAAAATGATGAACAGTTTCCTGAACAGTGTCCACCACCACTTTTTTGCAAACTCTGTTCAAAGTTTTCTTGCTTTGAGTCATAAATAACATAACCTTATCCAAACAGGTGATAGCAACAGAGTTTCATGTATTATCACAATTCTAGAGTCTTCTTTAATGTTATCATTTGTAATAGAGTTGGGGGGCAGATGAAAACTGAAAAGGTTGCAAATTCCATCATAATAAGGTACACTATCAAGTGTGGAGTTGAGCTTCTGTTTTATGCATTCGTTGTGGATTCTAATAGCTCCTTTACTTAGACAACTGAAATTAATCGGTGTATTCATTTTTGTAAATATCTTGTCTCCTTCCTTAGAGGGACCAAGCAAAATATGCATTCATTCTGGATTCTAATAGCTCCCTTACTTAGACACCTGAAATTATGGCACAACAGATCTTCCTAAAGGTATAGAAGAAAAAGATAATATGATTTAATGAAGTTTAAAAAAAAAAAACAATTAGCTATGCTTTGTCCCTCTAAGGAAGGAGACAAGATATTTACAAAAAAAAAAAAATACACCGATTAACATCTATGTTTTGTGCAATAAAAACATAATCTCGCATGCCCAAAAAAATCCATCCTTACTAGGAATGTTTTCACACAATATCTACAAATACTTTCCATATTAACTTCTGATGCTTTTCAATGTCATCGCAAATAAGTCATTAAAAATTTCACCTCACCTGTAAAAAATTAATTGCCAAACATAGCTCTTGCTTAATTAACTAAACAAAAAAATCAAGTACAATATTTATTATACCAGTTCCAAGGATTTCACGAACTTAAAGCCTTATAAGAGATTCCCTTTAGGAAGCATCAAGACCGTTATGCTGCATATAGACAAGAAACACGCGCGCACTCATACACGTACTTAAATGCTGCTCGCACACATTTTTGAATTTGAAATAAGTTCAAAATTTCAAAATCATTTCATCCAAATCTTTGCTACTGCATAGCATTGCATTCAAAAACACGTAACTTTCTAGCATTGAAAGTCTAGTACAGCAAACCCGTTGTACATATCACACATTTAGCAAATTCAAAAACATATATGTAGTAATATATCTAAAGAAAATACAGAGAAATGACAACAGTTAAGAGTGTTAATCAATATCCATGGGTAGGAAATACTTTTAAATCAGTTCAAGCTTATAACAGTAATGGAAGAAGCAGAATTAAACACGTGAAAACATGCAAAAGAAGAAAACTTTACAACAAAGGTAAAAGTAGATCACAATGGGAAAAATGCAACTAACTATAATAGCAGAAAAATAAAAATCACACGCCAAAAATATTGAAACCGCATGAATGATAAAAGCACATAAATCAGAGAATAAAAAAAGAACAAAATAGAGTGAAACGAAATCAAGGGAAAAGACTAAAAGGAGGATTATGAATTACGTCAAGGAGAGGTATGAGCTCATCAACTGACGAGGGAGGTTCAACGAGCCTGTTCCCAGCCTCCATTAACAGTAGCTCCAGCTCTTTATCAGATGCCGCCATAGCTATTTCTCTCGATGAACAAAATTATTTTATGTACCTAAATATACAGAAACAGATCCTTTAAAAACTGAGTCTAAGGCCTCGATTTCACACCATTGAAACCTAGAAACTCACGGGAAAAACCACAAATTGAAAAGACGACAGCCAGATTCAGCAAGAGAGAAAGGGGATTTACTCGAGAGAAAGTTAGGGTTTTCGTTTTTCTTTTCGGAGCCAGAAAGTGAGAAAGTGATGACTGAGCTTTCCTTTTTTTTTTTTTTTGTGAATAAAACTTTTGCAGGGGAATACCGTAAAAAAAAAAAAAAATTTATTTAAAAAATTTTAGGTGCTGGTTTGTTTTCCTCCTTTCTCCGTCGGACTGTTTATTATTATTATTATTATTTTTTGGGGGCGGATCCGCCGCGCTTATGAAATGGAATTAAATTACAGGGTTCAAATCCACCTTTGGATTTTCAGGTGTGGGGACCACTTGGGGTTTCTTGAACCGCTTGATTTTATTGTTACCTTGTGTCCTTTCCATTTTTTATTCAGTCGAAATGTCATTTCTGCCAAAAACCCAATTATTTTCATTTTTATGGAAAACTGATTAACACAGTCCAATACACCTAAGCAATTTTACATAATTACCAAAAATATATTTTGGCCAGATACCAAATAAAAACTTTGCAAAAGACTAATAATTTGTATTTCTTTTTATTTGAGCTTGTTAATTATTAAAAGAAAAAAAGTTTATTATTGTATTAATATATCATACTATTATTGACATAAATTTATAACTTTTTTATTTTGGAAGCTTCTCTGAACAAATGTGTCTCTTCACATTTTTCCTTTCTAAGATTAAAAAATCAAGTACTATGTATGAAATAAAATTATATATAGCATATACGAATAAAAATAAACTGTCAATTTTTGGTTACTGTCTCTTAACAACGTGCATATGCATGAATTCACTTGTCAAATTTCTTTGATCAATTTAATTTGTAGCAATATTATTATTTTTATGTATGAAGGTGATGACAGGGCAAATTTTTTCACATGTTCAGTGGATTCACTTGGGTCTTTTTCATATTTTAATTTTACTACTGTTATTTTTAGTATAAAACTTTTGGCATGTTAAATATTTTGAAAAGGATACAATAAATGCAAAATGTGGTTTTCTATTTTTTTTATTTTTCATTTTTTTCTTCTCCACCATCATTATTCCAAAATCTCAACTCATTAATTTTTTTTTATAAAAAAATTTAAGGTGAGGGAAAGATTTTTTCATTTCTAAATCAAGACAAATCGTAGATTTCGTAAAATATTTACATTAAATTTACAAATTATTTGTTAGAAAAGATTGTTAATAACAAATAGAGATAATAATAATTAGGATTATATCAGATTTGATTTAATTTTTTAGATAATATATAATATTATAAAATTTTCAAATTTAATCCTAATTTAAACCAAATTCTTTTGAAAATTGATTCGAGTTGAACTGAATTCTACCAATTTAATTTTGTTCAATTCATCAATTTTTAAATTTTAAATTTTAATTTTTTATATATTATTTTAATTTGATTTTTAATATATTAAATAGATTTAAATATGAAATAATTATTTTATTTTATAAAAAATTTAAAAAATATATAAACTAATATAAATATATAATTCAATTCGATTTTCAACTTTTCGATGCAAAATTCAATCTAAATTTAATATATATATTTAATATTCAAATTTAATAAAGTCAAATAAAAAAATTAATTCTAATCAAATCAAACATTACAATTTTGAATCGGTTTTCGATTTTTTCGATTTGTTTCTCACCTTTGATAAAGAAACTTGAATCTAAATCTTGCATTAATGTTAATAAATAGGTATATACATTGCAAGTTAAGATTTATAGCATATATATAATTATATATATACATTCGAACTTTATCTAAGCCCAATTGTCAAATTTTATATTTTTTTTACTATACTTTTTTATACATTATTTTATTTTTATTTATCCTATTTATTCTCTTATTATTATCTTTATCATTGTTTATTTTTAGATATATTCAATTTCTTTTTAGATATATTCAATTTCTTTTTTATCTCATTTTTTATATTATCTCATTCTTTAAAAATAAAAAAGGAAAAAAGGGAATAAATCGAAAGAAATTGAAATTTGGGTTCGGTGATAATTCTTATTAGAGAAAGTTTTGGATTAGGATTAACCTGGGGTGATAATTATTAGTTTTAAAAAATTCTAATCCTAATGGAATTGAAGTTCTCTTGATTTGCCTTTTATCTCTAATCACATACAACAAAAACATTAAAAACAGAAAAAAAAAAAAATAAAGAAGGATGAGTGGAAATTGTAGTGGCTTGATCTTAGAGATTTGGGGATTAGTTCTTGGGGATGAAACCCAAGGGAGGGTTGAAAAATTAGGATTTGCTTTTTTTATTTTCGAGTTGTTAGTTTTTAGGTTTGTCTTTAGCAACCTATTTTGGGTTTTCAAAAAAAGGAAAAAGAGGGATACTTAGAAAATAAGCAAAACAAAAGGAGTATGGTGGTTGAAGTCAATAAAACTGACAACTCGCAACGCGGTGGCACCTCAACAGCAAAAAAATTTTTGGTTTTGTGAAGCAACAAATAGGGTTGCTTAATAAAGAAAGGAAATAAAAAAAGGAATCATGAATGGTAGCTAAAGGTTGAGATGGTGGCTATGTTTTATGAAGAAGTAAAGCTTAATTGTACAAAAAGTGGAGACAAGAAAAAAGATAAGAAGAAACTAGAAGTGAAAGTCCAATAAAACAATAAAAGAAAAGCAAGTGGTATTTGGTATTTAATTAAGACTTGGGCCAGGTTCATCTTATAATTTGCTTGTGCCAAAGTTTTGAATTAATCAAGTCCAATATATTTATTTATTCTCATAATCAAGCCCAAGCTTTGACAGTCGGCATGTCATATTCCAGACAGATTCAAGTTGAGCTCTGATACAAAGTTTTGGTATTTTTTTTTCCTTTCCCATTTGTTTTTCACTTAGTTTTCTTTTTCATTTATTTATTCTATTACATACATCATTTTATGAAAAATTTTGTAATTATTTGATACATCAATAAAAGCATAAAAAAAAAGGGATTTGATAAGAAAATTAAATTAAGAATGTTTTAGAATCAATCCCACCAAATGGTTAGACAATTTTAATATTGAATTATGAATTCTACCAAACGATTTGAAATTTCATAATCAATTTTGAAAAATAAATTTTCAATCATACCAAATGATTGAAGGATTTAAATCTTGAATTATGAATTTCACCAAATAATTGAAGAATTTTATAAATAATTTTAAAAAATAAATTTTCAATCCTACCAAATAATTAGAGGATTTAAATCTTGAATTATGAATTTTACCAAATGATTAGAAAATTTCATAATGAATTTTTAGAGAAAAAAACAAATTTTCACTCTTACTAGATGATTGGAGAATTTAAATTTCTGAATCAAATATTACCAAACTATTGAAAAACTTAATGACTTTTTTTTTTTTAATTTTCACAAAAAAGTTTGAAATAAAAATCCCACTAAACAATTGAAGGGATATACATTGATATAAAATTCTACCAAATGATTAAAGGATTTTATTGATTGTTTTTAATAATAACTTTCTAAAAATGTTAATGAATCTAACGATAAAGCCTCTTAAGAGTGGGACAAGAGTCTTTATGAATACTCATGATGTGAAAAAATTATCTTAAATTACTACCAAATGATTGGAGTAATCTTAAGATCATTTTTCAATAATTAAATTTACTTGGTAAAATATAAATATATTCAAGGCTTGGATAACACGAAATCAAGTTAGTACATCTTTCGCTAGGCACTGTAAGGATGCTATAACATTCATCATATGTAATCATACTCTTAGACCTAGCATTAGTTCGTAGGCTAAAATCTATCTTTTAAAGATACCTAAGTTAAGTTTAGGATTTCTCTTTAAAATGAGACAGATTTAATTAGGTGACCAATCATACTTAAACAAAAAAAAAAGATTAGGGCTACTTTTAAAGTCAAATCTAGCGAAAGATTCATGGATCTATATATTATGATAATTTGGTGACTCTCTAGGGATAGCCAAGAGTTAAGCTAGTAAATGAATTTATGTTATCCAAGCCAAATGTGTTCCTTGAATGTTTTCCTTAAAAAGATATTTTTTTCTTCTTGATTTATTTTTCAAGCTTTTAATATTTATTTTTCAAACTTTTAATATTATGTCATTCATTTGCACGTATATAACATGAGCTCTATACTCAGACTCTGTCCCTTAGGAGAGAGTAAAATACTTATGCTTTCGTAAGATTTCATGTCTCTATATGGGTTAGCAAAATATTTTTGCTCAAATTGAATCATTTCCACTTATAGCCTATGTGGGTGATGATTGGAATGCCTTACTAGTTTGTAATAGACAATGATATGAGAAACAATTTGGAAACCTTTAGATTTAATTCAAACCACATATAATAAAACATAAGAAGCCAATCTTAAGTTAGAGCTATATCTACCTATTATTAGAATGTAACACTAGTTAAGACATATGAGTGGACTTTTTTAGCTTCATTTATCTTAACTTCATGACAAATTTTTTTTATCCTTATTTATTGTTAAGTTGTTGTATGTTGTATTATAATCTAGTATCATTAACATATGTAGTCATCTATGCGTCATAATGTGACAAATATCAATACATATATTCATACATTATTGTGCATACATTCATGTGTTTATGTATCATAATTTGTTGTGTCAAGCATTCAATGCATTCATTCATTCATGCATATAATATTCTTAAAAAAGTAAGATTAATTTTAAAAACTTCTTCATATACACACTTAGTAACATAAGCATACTAATTATGGTATACAAGGTTCAAAGATAGCTCTACTATTTAAGAATCTAGTTTAACCCATTCACCATTAATACAATACTAACACTAGAGCTCAACCTAGACAAATGGAACAAGAAAATGCAAATCTCTTTGAAAAGATAGAGAGGGCCCAAAAAGAACTTAAGAGAGAGTTGAATAAAATTCTAAAAACTATGAATAAATTGAACAGAGAGAAAACTGTAGAAAAAAATGCCAGCCCACAAGACCATCCCTCACAAGATGTTGTTGATCTTTTTTATCTTTCTAATTATGGCCCATATTAAACCCAGTCTATCCAAGGTAATCTATCATAGTAGTTTACATTCTTTGTAGGGTATACTTACCTAAGAATGCCATTTGCATCAAATCAGGGGCATTACCAAAGTTTTATGAAC